TCTTCCCTTCATGTTTTGTTCTGCAAATGACATCTACACAAATTGTTTGCAGCTCTGCGTTTAAATCTGTCAAAGACAGATTTCCAGTTACTAGTTCGGTCTGTTGGATTACTAAAAAGACTTGTGTTCCATAAATCTTCAAGCGACACATACAGTAGAATTCAGGAATGTTGGGTTATAAGTTACAAGCAATTGGATACTGTCAAACAAAAGCCTTTGGCCAGCCAGGTATTGCAACTCCCACTCCCATGATGCTTCAGTTTTGTGCTACTGTCGTGGAAGGATGGATGTATTTTCTTTTTGGTGAAACTAAACTTTTGTCTAGATGTTTTTACTTTTATGAAGTCGTCGTCTTTTTTCCCCCCCTTGAATCAAGATTCTTCATTAGCCGCTCAGCTGGAGCTCTGTTTGGATTTACTACAATTACACGTTCAGTTTACCAATTTGTATTGAAGTTACTTTATCACAGGAGCGAGCTTGGAGCGGTGGCTGCTTTACATCACACACAGGGACCATGGGGAACAAACGTAGCCACCCTGAGTTTAGTATTCCTTTTAAGGCAAATCCCCTTATCAGGCAAATTTATTATCCTGGCAGATGATCACGATAGATGCTAGCCTATCAGGAGTGTCCTGGACACCATGACAGTGCAGGGAACTTGGTCTGGTCGTCAATGGAAGCATACTGAAACTCTAAGTCATCAGTCTGTCCCTTTCAACTCTGGACTCCTCAACTGCATGGATTCTGGATGGTTCCATGGTTTCTGGATTAGTGAGGTGTCTATAATTCTTGAACAAAGTTGTATCAGGCTTCTAGATGGTGCCTGGCTTTTTAGGACAGCTGCTTCTGGGTGGGTGTGATTTCTGATCCTCGTCTCCTACCATGTTTCAACCCACCTGCCCCTATATAATCACATGAGCTGGATGTGTCTAAAAATCTAATCTTTTTGTGCACTTGACTTGATCCAGTAAGGGTGCGGGATAGAATTGTCTGCGAGAGTCCCCTCAAGATTCTTGATTACGCACCTTTCCAAATGTTTAGTAAAAGCCTTAGCTATGACTTCCCCTTCAAGAACGTCTGGAGCAAAGAGTCATTTGCCAAGTACCCCCAGAAGAAGAGAGAAGGGGGTTTTACTTTCACATTTTTTTTTTGAGGAAAAAAAAAACCTTGAGGGAGGTTCAGATTAATCTTGAATCTCAAACTCCTAATCAGGGTTGTCGGATACAGGAGATTTTGGATGGAGTCAATTTATTGTGTCAGGGAGCTTCTACCTCAGGAGTTGTTTCTAGCCACCTTAGATCTCGGGTATACTAGCATTACTTTACCTTCACATCAGGAAAACGGGGGTAAAATGGCAAATGGTTATTGTGGAAGCAATAAAGCTTTTTCTTGTGACCAAAGCCTCATTCAGAGCAATCATGAGAATGTTGGGACTGATGACTTCAGCCATCCCAGCAGTCCTGTGGGCACGGCTGCACTCCAGGTCTCTACAAAATTTCCTGTTGGAACACTGGGACGGGAACCCAGAGTCCCTTGCAACAGAAATTGCTTTGACAAGCTCAGTAAAACATTCACTCGGTGGTTAGAGGAAAATAATTTATCCAGAGGTAAACTGGAGTCTGGTGAGAATTGCAACAGATGCCAGTGCTTGGGGCTGGGGGATACATATTCAACAGCACATGACACAAGGTTCATGGAGTCGTTTCTGGAGCCACAGATCTTTAAACATGAGGATGTTGAAGGTGATAGAGTATGCTCTACTTCACTTTCAACCGAACGGGGAGTCATGTGCAGGCTTTGTCATACAATTCAACCTCAGGATCTTACATAGGGTGGCTCCATATAATGTCTTTAGCAGAGGACATTCTGATATGGGCAGAAGAGAATCTGTCACTTTCAGCAATGCACTTAAAAGGGAAACTTAGCTCTCTCCTGCTCAAAAAGTATGCTAAAATGTTAAGTCAATTAGATAGGTCCCTATCCTACATGCCCTTTTGTAGATCATTTTGCATCGAAAGCAAACAAAGTGAACCTCTTCTGGAGGACTAGGGGTAGATGCATTTGCTCACCCCTGGAATTTTCATTTGGCATAGTGTTTCCCACCTTCAGGCTGATCCCCAGAGTCAATCTGAAAATTGTCAAAGAAAAGGCAATGGTCATTCTAATAGCACCGTTTTGACCAAAGAGGCAATGGTTTGCAGCTCTTTGGAAGTTGAGCCTCAAGCCCGCTTGGATACTACCGGCCAAATTCAGTCTGCTACAACAAGGATCTGTATATCACCCCCAAGTGAATGTCGGTGTGTCTGGCAGCTTGGATTCTGAAAGGGACATACTAGTGAAGAAAGGTCTCTCAGGAAAAGCGACTACTTCAGCAATCTATACCAAAGTATTGGAAACATATTTTTTTCGTGGCCCATAGCCCATAGTCGGCTTGACTGTGCATTCAGTTTTGGCATTTCTTCAGAAAAGGGTAGACAAGAATCTAGCTTGTAATACCCTTGAAGTTCAAGTTTCTGCTTTCTCAAACTTGGGAAGCACAATGGTGTAGTGGTCAGCAGCACTGGGGGGTCCCTGGTTCGAATCCCAGCCAGGTCACTCACTACCTGCAAGGAGTTTGCATGTTCTCTTTCTGCTTGTGTGGGTTTCCCCCTAGTACTATGGTTTCCTCCCACACCCTAAAGACATGCTGGTAGGGTAATTGGCTCCTGTCTAAATCAGCCCTTTTTATGTATGCATGTGAGATGGGGACCTTAGATTGTGGGCTCTTTGGAGGCAGGACTGATGTGAATGCGCACTATGTAAATCACTGCGTAAATTGTCAGCGCTATATAAATACCTGTAATAAATAACTTTTGGATGTTAAGTTGGCAGATGAGCCCTGTGACCTATCTGTTGACCTTAAGGGGTTCCTTAAGTCCCCATTTGAACCAATTAAAGTTTGCTCTCTTAAGATTCTTACCCTCAAGACAGCCTTATTGGTGGCAGTTGCTTCAGCCAGTAGGGTTAGAGATATTCATGCTTTCTCCATAGCGGATACCTATTGTATTATTTTGCAAGACAGATCATTCTCAAAACTGACCCAGCTTTTTTACCCAAATTAGCATCTGTTTTCATAGAACTCAGGAAGTGATTATTCTCTCCTTGTTCTAAACCTTCCAATGGAAAGGAAGCAATGTGGCAAGGCGTAGACGTCAGGAGATGTCTCCTTATAAAGATGTCTCTTTATAATTTTTTTTCTTTGACTACTACATGGTAACATTCACAGTTCTGCTTCCACTTATATATAAATACAACTGCTTTCAGTTATTTTAATCTAGCTAATACATTCATTTTTCCTAACCATATCATGATTTCATCATTACCCAATATTATTTTCTTTATCCCACTCCCCCCTAAAACTGACAAAACGCACCAACAGACAAGGAAGAAGGAAAAAAAAACCTCCAGTACAAGACCCCGAGTTTTAAACAATCTCGGTAGTCTCTTTAAATATCTATAGTAATAGGTAAACTAGATACAATGTTACTATATTCTTGCGAATGGGTGAATCCCATCCAACTCAACCAGGTATCTCCGAATTTCACTTCTCTGATATAGAGATGCTGTAAGTTCCTCCATATCTCTAATTTTAGGGAACCACAGTTGAATTGATGGTGGTATCGCCCTTCTCCAGTATAAGGTTATGCATATTCTCGCTGCATTGACTAAGTGTATTAGGAATAAGTTCCTAGATCTCTTCCTTGAGAGGGGAGAGACATGTAACAAATAGGCTGCACGATTCTCCCCCATCTCTATTGCAGTTAATCCTTTAATGTGGTTCTTAACTTTGTCCCAAAAAGGTCAACTTTTGGGACATGACCAAAATATGTGAAAAATACTTTCCTCTCTATTCCCACATCTCCACCATTTATCTGAATCTTCTGGTTTAATCCCATGTAGAATAGTCGTGACTCTGTACTATTGTGTTAGGATTTTATATCCTGCTTCTTGAAATGTTCTAGTTAGAGGAATATTGTGAAAAATATAATATATAATTTCTTTCTCAGTTTCTCAGTAAACAGTCCTTGTAGATCTCTTTCCCACTTACTGAGGAACAAAGGGCAAAACTGATCTGGAGGTTCATTAAGAAGATGATATATCTTAGAGCATGCCTCAACATCCCTTTTTCACTACACAATTTTTCGAAAGGAGTCAATGTCCTTGTCCCATCGGATCTTCTATTAAAGGTCTGCAATAAACTATACAATTGGAGTATCTGCCATCTACAGAAAATAGAAGTGTAGCTCTCTAAAAGCTCTGAATTCGATGGTACTCCTTCTCAGGGCACAAATTTGTAGAATCTAAATTTTCCTTGATCTCTAATATTTAAAATTGTTTATCCTGTAAACCTGTTAAGAACATAGGATTACCTAACACCGGGGTCATAGCACAGGTGGCCTTGTCTGAGGTTGAGGAGATGTCTCTCTAAATGGATAAACCACTTCCTGGAGGAGAACCAGCAATTTGTACTTTTTACATGCCAAAATAAGAAACGGAGCATCAAAACATACAATAGTGATGTGGATGAGACTAGCAAAGTACAAATTACAAAGTTTGATGGCGCCTGAATATGCTATGATGCATTCTACTAGGGCAGGGGTAGGCAACCTTGGCACAGCTGGAAAGCCAAGGTTGTCCTACCCATGTACTAGGGCCTTGGCTTCATCATGGGCAGTGAGGTCAGGGCCTCATATCAGATCTGCAGAGCAGCCACCTGGATCAGCCTCCAGACCTTTGTCAGACATGACGGTGTTTTGTGATGTTTCCTGTTTCAGGTGGCCTATGTCTCCGATGGCCTGGAAGATTTATTTTCCCTTAAAGTTTTGTATAGTGGGGAAGTGTTGAAACCTATTGGGCATGTTTCTGCTTTTTTTAATTTTTTTTATTTTACTGCTGTCTTGTCTATTGTACATTTTGTACATTTAAGTGTTTTTGTGTTCCCCCCCTTTACTACTTTTCAGATGGTACAGAATACGGATTAAATGAGGGTGATATGGAGGCATCTGTGGCTACAGTAACTAGCATGGGCGAACAGATTGGTGCTGACATGATCCTCTTGCGAGAGCACCAAGAGGTTGGAGGCAAAGTACAAGACTACCTGGTGCGCAAGCGAGTGGGAGATGATGACTTCTTGGAAGTAAGGTGAGATTGCTCCTTTAAGTGTTCTGTCTGTGTGCTATCATAGACTTAGTATTTGCGATACCGGGATGCACCGATATCGGTTTTTCAGTATTGAGTAGGTGTGCCGATTAATTTTTTTGTATACCAATACTGGCATCCCGAGGTAGCCTGAGTGCCTCCTTCCCCAAGTGGCTCCGTCGGCTAACAAAGGGAAGGGGGAGGAGTCCGGTGGCGTCTATGTCTGTAACGTCCCCAGACTCCTCCCCCCTTCCCTTCGTTAGCCAATGGAGCCACTTGGGCCGGTGATCTTATCGAGTTCTACGACCGCCTGACTTCCGGTTTCTTTACAACTAAGAGGTATGCTGAAGAAACTTGTTCTGCACGAGCACCAGCCAAGGCATTGGCCTATACACATACAGCACAGCAATTAAGTAATAAAATGAACTAGGATCACACTAATACAGCACGTTATTATTCTGAGTTGCCCCACTCAAGCGGCGGCCATATTGAGTGGGGCACGTGAGATTAATAACGTGCTGGATGGGGGCGTGGCTTGGCTATGGCGGCGTGAGGAAGCACACTGCTTGAGCTCTGCTATCTCCGGGGATAATTCAGGTGATCACAGCGTCCTACGACCTGATTCTTGATGTCTCAGAAGAGGAAATCCAAGTCTCACAACAGCAAGCGCTCCCTGACATCGCTCCAACGCTACCTTTCCACCCAGGCGCCATCGACCCGCAACACTCCTAGGACGGCAATGGCTCCTGAGACGCAGGGTAAGACACAGGGGCCTACACCTCCGCGCCCGCCTCGCGGCACCCCGGCCTCACCAGCTTCCCCAGCTCTGGAAGCACTTACACCGCAGAGGACCCCAGACTCGCCACCCGGCCCCAGCCTTATAGAGGACCCGGTTATCTGCCTCACCCCGACCCCGCAACAGACACCAGAGGTGTTGGCCTCCCTCTCCTCCAATGAGGTCTCCGCCATTCTCCTATCCCTACCCACGCGGCAGGATATGGCAGCCCTGGTCACTAAAATGGAGGCCGCGCTGAAGAGAGACATAGCAGGCATCCATAAGATGACGATCTCTCATCTGGAAACGAAAGTTTCTGGCCTCTCTGATGAACAGGCCCACTTGTCTCGCCGGCTGGATCGCCTGGAGTCGGACAGGTCGACCCAGGATCTCCACCTCATCACCCTGTTCCTGGCCCAAGACAACTTAGAGAACAGGTCGCTATCACGAAGCTCCGGGGGCTCCCGGAAGCCACGGGTGCTGCAGACCTACGCCCCACAGTGTCAGCCATCCTCAACTCCGTATTAGACAAGGCCCAGGACTCCCCCCTGGAGATAGACCGGGTGCATCGCGTGGGAGGACCCAGACCAGATGGAGATTCTCGGCCTAGGGACGTACTATGCCGTATCCATTTTTTTGCAGTGAAGGAAACCGTGATGCGAAAAGCGTGGCAAAGGGGCCCTGTCCCCTTTGATGGGGTCGACGTGGCTATCCTCCCGGACCTGTCTCGGCGTACGCTACATATAAGCAGACTCCTACAACCCCTGCTTGCTGAAATCCGACGGGCTGGAGGCCTATACACCTGGGGTTACCCCTTCAGCTTGAATGTCCGCCGTAACGGCCGGTCCTTCCTCCATCACCCGGCCCAGCTGGAAAGTCTCTTCTCTTTCCTGGAAGTGGAGCCTGTGGAGATCCCCGACTGGCTCAGCCCAGACCTGGATGTTGCACACCGTCCTCTTCCCCAGCGCAGATGCCGCCGGAGCCCATCTTGGAACAGGCCCAGGGCATCCCGCTCTGCACCCACATCTAGTGAACCCTGACTTTATGGAGCCTGGCGGTGAGTCAAGACCGGATGGCTCCTACATTGCAATACCTGTTACTACCTATCCCACCGACCGCTGAGAGAGACTCCGATACCTGGCATCGGCATGATGCACAGTCTGCGCTACTTTGCACCACCTCCTTGTCTCTGAGACAGGTGAGGTAACCATTCCCCTGCTATCCCACCGTTCCAACTAATCGCCCCTGGCATTGACTGTCCCTAGTGCTGTATCCCCCCCCCCCCTTCCTGAGATGCTCTCGGGGAAGCTTGTGCAGCTGAACTACCTCTTCACTTTTCATGCTTTGTCAGCCCGGGCCTCACGACCACCCATTCTACATGACCTGTCCATAGGGGTTGCCCCCCCTACCCGGATGACATCGCCCCTTCGGACTCGGTGGGCATCTCGACCTTTCCTTTCCCCATCCCCTCCCCTATCCCTTACCCCTTGCCACCAGGCAGCACGGGACTGAAGTCCAGGATCTCTACTGACGGGTATGGGTTATGTACTGTGGTACACCCCATATTGGTGTCTACGGAGTTAGCCACCCTGTGATTTGCAGTTTTTTTATATATCCCCCTTTTTTTTTTTATCTGATTGCCAGGACCGTGATGTATGTGTTTCTCCTTTATACAGTGGGCCGGTGGACGGTGTGGGAGGACCCTGGGTTCGCGGAGGTTCTCCGGGATGGCCATCACTGGTGCAGTGGACCACTCTCTGCGATGTATGAGGTAACTCCTTTCCCCTCGAACCCGATGCCTTGACGGGTTACGTCCTGTCTCAGTGGTCCCCTGCCTCAGGCCCTCCTGGACGACTCCGTGGTATTCCGGGTTCTCTTCAACGCTGCTGCATGTTACTCTGTTTTTGATTATGTTGATATGCTTATTTTTTGTTATGATTGCATACTAAGGATGCCCCTTTGGATAAGGGAGTGGCCTAGTTTTAAGGGCCACCCCTTATACCGTTATTAGCCCCCGAGAGATAGCATCTCACTTACTTGAAGATCTTTCGTTTGTAGTGTTCCCCCACTTGTTTGCTGTAGCCCACCACCTTCCCCTTGGGAGTCATCCACTCAGCTCTGTTGTCGGCCACTCCGTTCGTTCTACTATCCACGGATGCAGAGAAGGCCTTCGACAGAGTGGACTGGGACTTTCTCTCATCCACGCTGCAAGCGGTGGGCTTAGGCCCACACATGAGGACCTGGATCCGCTCTCTCTACTCCTGCCCAACCGCCAGAGTTTTGGGTGAATGGTGTACTGTTCCCCCCCCTTTTCCATCACAAACGGCACACGGCAGGGATGTCCACTTTCACCCCTTCTTTGTCCTCTCCCTAGAACCCTTTCTCCGCACGGTCCGCGCCAACATGAGCATACAGGGTGTGCAGGTTGGTCCTGTCCAGCATAAGGTGGCGGCTTTTGCGGACGACCTCCTGTTCTTCCTCACCTCCCCTGATGTCTCCCGGTGCTCCTGACGGAGATAGAGCGCTACGGCAAACTTTCGAACTTCCTAGTCAATTCTCATAAATCTATGGCCATGCACCTGTCCCTCACAGGCCCGCGCCTGCGGAGGGTATTAGCCAACTTCCCTTTTAAGTGGTCCCACACGTCCCTGAAATACTTGGGCATTCAACTCCCCAGAAACCTGTCCCAGACCTTCTCCCTTAACTTTCCTCCCCTATTGACTGCCATCAGCTCGGACCTCAAGCAATGGTCCAAGGGCACTTTTTCGTGGATGGGCCGCTGTAACATCTTAAAGCAAACTGTTCTTCCTCGGCTCCTTTATCCCCTTCAGGCACTCCCAATACGGATACCCCTGTCATTCTTCCGAACGCTTAGAACTCTTTTCACTAAATTTGTCTGGGCGGGAAAGCCCCCCCGCGTCAAATACAACTTACTCCGATTACCGAAATACTCCGGAGGGATGGGCCTACCTGATATACACCTTTATTACATTGCCATCCACCTGACACGGGTACTGGATTGGTGCCGCCACCCCACCTCAAAGCTCTGGCCTAGTCTTGAGCAAGCCTCATCTGAGACGACACTGTCGGGACTGCCATGGTGCTCTTCACCACTATCCCCGGCCATTCGATCCCACCCCACCATAATGCCCACATTGACAGTGGCCCGATCTGCCTTCTCCCACTATTCCATCTCGCCATACCCTTCTCCGCTGGTACCTGTCCTAGGCAACCCGGCTTCCCCCCCGGGCATAGACGACAATAGGTTCCGTAGACTTGGCGCTCATGGGAAATCGAGAGCGCTACACTTCCTGAACGGTGCATCCTGGCCCACAACGTTTGCATCTACCGCTAACGCAGACGATCCACCCCTGGACTCTTGGCGTACTATGCAATTGCTCCATTTTCTGAGATCTCTTCCATCCCCGACTCAGCTTTCCAGGACCTTGACCCCATTTGAATCTGAATGTACCCGGGAGGGTCCTGCTCGGCATGTCCTGTCTTTCTGCTATAAGCTCTTGTTGACAGCTTGCGCCCCAGACGCTCTGTGGTTCCTCTCGAGGTGGGAGGAGGACCTCGGAGTCCGGTTCACCCCCGCAAAACGCACAAAGTTGCTCTCATTGTCCTACCAATCCTCTATCATCAATAAGTACCAGGAGTCCGGATACAAGCTGGTCACCAGGTGGTACAGGACACCGCAAATTCTACACTCCATGTACCCCCAGACTCCTGACATATGCTGGCGCTGCGGAGCCCCGTCAGCAGATATCCTCCACATTTTCTGTGCATGCCCTTCACTCACTACATTTTGGGATCAGGTCTATGCCACCACCCAAAAATTCACTGACCACTCAGTACCTAGGGACCCGGCCTTCTTCCTCCTGCATCACAATGACTTCTCGACCAAATCCTATAAACGCTCTGTAGTGCAACACCTGGTTAACGCAGCCCGAGCATGTATCCCAGCCCTGTGGAAAACTCCTGATCCCCCTACCGTGTCCCAATGGCTTGGTAGGGTACACGACATTTACCTGATGGAAGATCTTACCAGTTCCCTCCGTAACGCCCCCGATAGATTCAGGAAAACCTGGTTTTATTGGATGGAGTTTATCCTCACCCCGGAATATGAGGCCCTACGTCGAAGCTCTGCACCGTGACTTACCAAGCTAGCACCCCGTTCTGGATGCCCAACCGATCCCCTTCCCATCCCCCACTTTCTCATTTCTTC